TTAGCAAAAAGGAAAGTTTGAAGCCTAATCTTGAAAGTAGAGATAGTGACATGTTTCACAGCGTTACAGTCTGTGTTCGGTAAGACCTCCTTATTCTTCATCACAGCCTGAACTATCTTAGGAAAGCCTTCCTGTCATTTCCTTTAGTGGTCTTCAGGAATAGTTTTCCAGGCTCTTTCAAGCACATTCCAAAGCTTTTCCTTTGCCTGGAATTTCTGTAATTGGGCAAAACCCCAGCTGTCTCTCTCCGTCTGCCTGTCCTCACTTCCTGTTGTTCTGTCTGCTCCACACACAGGTCTGTTAGTGCTACAGAGGATGAATGCTGCTACATTAATCCTGTGCACAGTTAGACTCTGTCACGCCTCAGCTGCTGTGTCTATATCTCACGTCCTGTTTGGTTGTAACTCATTTCTAAAACGTCACCAGGTTCTGATTGCTACCAGCACTCTGGCCTGGGGAGTGAACTTCCCCGCTCACCTGGTTGTCGTCAAGGGAACCGAGTACTACGATGGCAAATCCAGGCGCTATGTGGACTACCCCATCACAGGTACAGCTCAGTGACAGCCTGGGTGTGGTCTCTGTGGAACAGGAAGTGTGCTTCCTCCAGTCTGTGTGACGTTAAACTCCGCATTAAGAAGCTCTCTCATATAGCTGTCACTGACGCTCAGAACAAACTGCATTAACAGATCGTAAACGTTCTGCTCTAAAGGTTGTGTGTAACTGTGTGTGTGTGTGTGTGTGTGTGTGTGTGTGTGTGTGTGTGTGTGTGTGTGTGTGTGTGTGTGTGTGTGTAGACGTGCTGCAGATGATGGGGCGAGCAGGCCGTCCTCAGTTTGATGACCAGGGCAAAGCAGTCATCCTTGTCCACGACATAAAGAAGGATTTCTACAAGAAGTTTCTGTACGAGCCGTTTCCTGTAGAGTCCAGGTAACAGCACAATCTTCATCATCAGCATTCCTGCCATAGTCATCTGTTAGTGTCAAAGACTGGGCCCATCTGTGGATGTCTAATGTATTTAAATCTTTATGACCCGTAACTGTTCACACCAAGGTTAAAGT